AGGAGAAAGTCCAGATGCTGACCTGGCCAACGGCACGCCTTTCCTGCCCCATCAGAACTTTCTCCCAGGTGCAGTCTAAGCTCGTTTAGAATGTGCTGTGGACTTCCTCATCTCTAGACCCCTGTCTTCCCCTCCCCTGTCACAAGACCGACTTCTGTTTGTTCTTCAGATCTTAGCTGAGCGCTCTCTGGTTCTGAGCAGATGTGGTAGGACTGCAAGTTGCTTCCAATATCCTTTTCCCCTTCTATAGTAATAAACTCCCTCTCCAATCAGGGTTCAGCTGGGCATGTGAATGTCCAGAATAATGACGCTTTCTAGATCTCCTTCTAGGTAGGTATGACTTTATGGTTAAGTTCTGGCCAATGAAATGACAAGAGTGTGATGGCTTTTGAGAATATTTCTTAAAAGGACTGCTGAGTTTGGGCACAGTGGCTCATTCCTGTAATCCCAGCACCTTTTTTTTTTTTGAGTTGGAGTCTTACTCTGTTGCCTGGGCTGGAGCACAGTGGTACGCTCATGGCCACCACAGCCTTGACCTGCTGGGCTCAGGCGATCCTTCCACCTCAGCCTTCCAAGTAGCTGGAACCACAGGCAGCACCACCACACCTGGCTAATTTTTTTTTTTTTTTTACTGTAGAGACAAAGTCTCACCAAGTTTCCCAGGCTGGTCTCGAACCCTGGACTCAGGCAATCCTCTTGCCTCTGTATCCCAAAGTGTCGAGATTACAGGCACGAGCCACCATACCCGGCTTAATCCCAGCACTTTGGGAGGCCAAAGCAGGAGGATTGCCTGAGCCCAGGAGTTGGAGACCAGCCTGGGCAACATAGCAAGACCTCATCTCCACAAAAAATTAAAAAGTTAGCCGAATGTAGTGGTGAGCACCTGTAGTCCCAGCTACTCAGGAGGCTGAGGTAGAAAGATCACCTGAGCCCGGGAGGTCAAGGCTGTGGTGAGCCATGATGGTGCCACTGCACTGCAACCTGGACTACAGAGTAAGAACCTGACTCGAAAAGACTGCTGGTATGACGACTTTCATCCTTTCTGCTTTCTTTTTGAAACTTCCTCCTTCCTGCTGGCTGGAATGCAGACACGATGGTTGCTGCTAGAGCAACAATTTGGGGACCAAGGCAGAACCCTGGTTGCCTGGGAACTTTGTGGACCAGAGCTATTTTATCAGTCCTACTTCCACAATTCTCCACAAGAGCAAAATGAACTATCTTGGGGAAATAAACGTCTATTTTGGGTCTTTATTTTTTTGTTTTGTTTGTTATGAGGCAGTGTCTTGCTCTTTTATCTATGCTGGAGTGCAATTATACAGTCTCAAACTCCTGGGATCTAGAGATTCTCCTGCCTCAGCCTCCCAACTAGTTGGATGACAATGTGTACCACTGTGCTTGGCTAATTAAAAAAAGAAAAAAAATTTGCATGAACTCACAGGTTCGACACCAGCCTGGGCAACTTGGTGAGACCCCCCCCCATCTCTACAATAAATCAAAAAATTAGGGCGTGGTGGCATGTGCCTGTAGTTCCAGCTATTTGGAAGGCTGAGGCGGAAGGATCGCCTGAGTCCAGCAGGTCAAGGCTGCAGTGGCCTTTAGCATGCCAGTGTACTCCAGCCTGGGTGACAGAGTGAAGCTCCAACTCAAAAAAATTTTTTTTTTTTTTGTAGAGATGGGGGTCTCACTCTGTTTATTCAGGCTGGTCTTGAACTGCAGGCTTCAAGCAATCTGCACACCACGACTTACCAAAGGAATTACAGGTGTGAGCCACTGTGTCCAGCCTGGGGTCTCACTTTCAGTCAAGACTAATCCTGACTGCTGGGTCCTTCCTGACTCCCCACATCTGAGTTAGCTGACCCTCCTTGACTGCAGTAGCACCCTGCACTTGACAGTGAGTGAAGCCACCTGTGTGTGCATCTTTCTCCTTGGCTGCAGAGGCTCTGGTGAGTTGATTCCATTTTTGTATCTCTAGTATTTGGCTGATTCATAGTAGGTGTCCAGAAGACTTTTGTTGAAAGAATGAGCTGGGTGCAATGACTTATGCTTGTAATCCCAGCACTTTGGGAGGTGGAAGCAAAAGGATTGCCTGAGTCCAGAGGTTCGAGACCAGCCTGGGCAACTTGGTGAGACCTCAACTCTACAATAAATTGAAATAAATTAGCCGGGCATGGTGGCACACACCTGTGGTTCCGCTACCTGGAGACTGAGGCAGAAGGATCACCTGAGCCCAGCAGGTCTAGGTTGTGGTGGCCAGGAGTATGCCACTGCACTACAGCCTAGACAGCAGAGTGAGACTCCTACTCAAAAACAAAACAAAACAAAAATGAAAACGGAGAGAATGAATAAAGAGATGTTTGTGGTTTGGGTGCAAATAATAACATTGCCTATCATTTGTTGCTTCGAGAGTCAAAGGAGACCCGCACACCCAGTATGGGGCCTTTACACCACGCCTTCTTTTATAGCCCTTTCCTTTCCTCTGGGCTCAGAAGCCTCTGCTGCAAAATGACTGGACAGAACCCTTTGAATCTCAACATCCATTCTGAGTCTGTCACTCTCACCTCTTCAGTTCACAGGAATCTCTCCCTCCTCAAGCTCCCTGGAAAGGCTTTCTTGGTAGATGGAACAGCATCAACAAAGGCACTGGGTGTTACGAGCCATGAAGCATTAAGGAGCTGGAGGGGTTTGGTCTGGTTGAAGGAGGGACTGGGGTCCTATTGGGATGTGTCCTGGGTGGGTCAGGAGGCAGACAGAATCTAGCATGTGTCACTCTCACACCTTGCCTAGTCAAGAGGTCTTGTGCCTTTGTGCTTTATCTTTACAGTACTAAAAATTATGATCAACAATATTGTTACAATTGTTTTGGCCAGGTGTGGTGGCTCAGACCTGTAATCCCAGTACTTTGGGAGGTCAAGGTGGGAGGATTGCTTGAGTCCAGGAGTTCAAGACTAGCCTAGGCAACACAGTGAGACCTCATCTCCACCAAAAAAAAAACAAAAAAACAGCCAGATGTGGCAGTGGGCACTGGTAGATCCAGCTACTTGGGAACCTGAGGTGGGAGAATCGCCTGAGTTCAGGACGTCAAGGCTGCAGTGAGCCATGATTGTGTCACTGTACTCCATCCTGGGCCACAGAGTGAGACCCCCAACTTAAAAAAAAATTGTTACAATTTTTAACTAGTGAGGAAAAAATTTATTGATTTGTGCTTTCCACCCTGGTTCCCAAAAATATTACTGCAATATTTGTGCCTGTAAAACATTATAAACAACAAATGCAATAACAGAAAGCCTATAAAACTATAAATGTCATTTTCTGGAAAGGTAGTCTTCTTGTTTTTCTTGCAATAGGCCTCAGGTTCTTCAGCAGGGATTGGTGTGAAAACCACTGCTGTGTGTACGGAGACCTGGCAGAGAGTTCTGAGCAAGACAATGTCTGCCATGCCACGCTGATGAGGTCCACCAAGTGCCTGGTGCTGGACCGGAGCATCTAGGATGCCAAAATTCTAGCCTTTGAGAAGCTCATGTTTTATTCAGTGTTAGGCACAGACATGTAAACAAGTAAATAAAACATGACAAGAGCTAAATTGGAATTATGTATGTGTGAAGTGGGACCCTAGGGTGGGGAATAAGTAAAGGCGTCAAAAGCAGAAGCTGGACCCTAACAACCTAAGCTGTCCACTAAGGAGATCACCTGGGCACATGTGGGGGGCAGGGCTGGGACAGAGAAGAAACCCCTGGCAGGGAGAACTTCAGGAGGTTTTTGCAAGAGTGAGGATAAGGAAACCACCAGGAACAGGGCAGATGCTACAAAGACTGAACAAGAGGAATGGATGAAATATTTCGAGGCTTTGTTAGGCATGGGGTAAGAACAGAAGGTGGAGTCAAGATTAATCCCTGGGTTTGTAGCTGGGCACAGTGGCTCACATCTGTAATACCAGAACTTTGGGAGGCCAAGGTGGCAGGATTGCTTGCCCAGAAGTTTGAGATCAGCTTGGGCAACACAGCCAGATCATCTCTTTAAAAAAAACAAAAAACAAAAAAACTGGTCATGGCAGTCCATGCCTGAAGTCCCAGCTACTCTAGAAGCTGAGGCAGAAAAATTGCCTAAGCCCCAGGTTGTGGCTGTGGTGAGCCGTGATGGAAGAGTCAAATGAAAGAGCTCATTCATTTGATAAAAATCAGTCATCTTTTATGTGTCAGATCCTGCTTTTTCCAACAGCAGCGAGCAAGACGAATAGGTCCCTGTCCTCGTAGAGTCAGGGGCACAGAAGGCACACACATATAATCTAGGCTAGTTATAAGCATTATGAAGAGAAACAAAGCGCAACACAGCAGAAGAAGTGTTGGGAACGACCGGGGAGCAGACGGCATGGGGGAGCCGTCCAGGGCTTTCCAGAAAGACTTCTTTGAACACAGAGCTCCTTTAAAAGGTGCTATTTGTGCAGAAATCTCCAGTACGGAAACGTGGTAAGGGCTGCTTACTGCCTACCCATGAGAGAGATGATGGGGAGGAACAACACACAGAAGTCATATACATTTGAGGTGTCTCTTAGGAAGCTTTTATTTTATTTTCTTTTCCGTAGAGAGGGTCCCACCCTGTTGTCCAAGCTGGTCTCAACCTCCGGGCCTCAAGCGATCCTCCCGCCTTGACCTCCCCAAATGCTGGGACTACGGACGCGAGCCACCTCCATCCAAGAGGAGGGGCCGAGGAGGAGGCGGATGCATGGGCAATCCAGAGTCGGGAGGCAGGTCCCGGGCGGGGACTTGAACTTGGAGGTCTTCAGGGCAGGGCCAAGTCCCAAGCCGAAGTTCCACGACCGGAGGGCCCCGTGCGCCCGGGGCTGTGCTGGGGACCGAGGACACGGAGGTGACGGGAGCTGTCCCGCCCAAGCGCGAGGCCCGGCGGGCGGCCGTGCC